AATATTAACTAGATAAAAACCTGTATTGGTGTTCCGGATAATATTAATCGATGATTTGCCTTTACAGACTTCACTGCTTTAGTAATTTTTGTTTTTCCGTTTTTTATCACATGTCCTTCATCTAAGATGCAATAATTCCAATGTATACTGGCCAAATCGTCAATATCATTACGCACGATATCATAAGACATGATAACTACGTCGTAGTTAGAAATCTTTGGTCGGAGCCTTCAAAATAATTATGTGAATTAGCAAATAGAAATAATCATTATAAACAACAATTATTTATAGATTAAAATATCAACCTATCTCTGTCCTTAGGATTACCAGAGTACAGTAGAGGTTTTAATGTGTCGGTATAATTTAATATTTCGTGATACCAATGTCCTGTCAATGTAGGTGGGCAGACAACTAAAGATGGACAATGAACGCTGTCTGGTGATTTTGTTGCATTATATTTTGTGGCACGCATGTGGTGATCACTTGCAAGAATGCAAATAGACTGAAGTGTTTTGCCAAGACCCATATCTAAAAAAACATTATTAAGAGTTATTGACAGTAAATAAAATATGCCCAAACAAAGATCGATATAAACGTCTTTACCGTCACATAATATTCCATGCAATTGATATCTGTTTAAAAATGCAAGCCAATTTACGCCTTCTTGTTGATATTTTCTTAATTCAGCTTTGATCGTAACGGGAATTTCATATGGATCCAACTTTCTGCTGTCAAGCAGTTGAGCAAGGAATTTGCGTTCTTCATCTCGGTGTATCAACAATTCTGTAGATAATCCAGGTGGATCAGGTATTCCAGCCTAAAACAAGGCACCAATTAGAATCTTAATAAAAAACAATTTTACTAATATATAAAACCTGATTAAAATTACCTCCAACGGAACCAACTTTATTAGCATAGCAAAACAATTGGTGCTTACTAATCGAACGTTTTCATCCACATCGCTCATTCGACCCAAAATTGGTACTATCAAAAAGATGACATATGGTAGAATCTTTGCGTCCATAGTTTGCACAACATCTAAATTCGCAAAATAAAAGGTTAAGAAAAATATAAATGTCTAAATATTAGGGTGCTTTAATAAACCAAATGGAACATTGTGAAGGATACGGTATATTAGTTCGGCAGCTCCTTGACGACGTATCACATTCTGTGAATCCCCCAATAGTGGTATTGCTTGACCTATTATGATCTGCATACTCTGGACAGTGATAACATTTGCAATTGTGGCAAAGCAACGGGCAGCCATGTACCTAATTACTGAATATTGACACTGAATGGCTCTCACAAGACAAGGAAGCAATTCCGTTATCTGTTTGAATACAATTGCTTCTTTAATATGCATTATTTATAAGGTTAAAAGTAAATTATATGCAAATATAACGAACCTTTAATCGAAGAGATTCATGAAATACAGGAACTAATGTTTGTAATATC